GGAAAGGTTTTTGACACTTGTAAAGTGTACCAGCTCTACATATTGGGATATCACAAGCTCGTGATTTGCTGCACAGTGTTGAATTGGGTAGCACTCTGGCCTCACAGCACATCGCATAGCACGTCCCTATCTCAACGCCAGCGTGACTGTGGTGCTGCCAAAAGCTTCCAGTAAACACTCCTATTTAGATCACACTTAACAAACTGAAACTTTCTGTTCATGAACCAGACTAGCAGGTACGGTAATAAGTGCCTTTGCTTCTATTCCCAGGGACTATCAGGAATTCAAAAATAGACCTCCTTACTGAAATATGCTGTCCTTTGTTATTTGTATTCTCTGGTGAGCCAGCTTAGAGGTGTTTTTTTTTCTTCTTACACGTGAGCCTACTTTTGTTGTTGACAGCTTTACTTCCTCATTTTTGAATCATCCACCTGCAACTGTTTTCTATGTATAAGTAAAAATAAGAATTCCAAGAAAAAAGTGGATCAATTGTAATGAACAGATAACTAAATAAATAGTTTTTTAAGAAATAAAATGAACATTTAAACCCTGTTTCTCCATTTACTGATTTATATCTTATCTTTTATGTAAACATTTTAAACACAGCTTGTGGTTTGATCAGGTTGCACGCAAGGATGCTTTCTTTAGAAAAACTAATCTTAAAAACCTGTTTCCTGGTTTCCATCCAAGCCCTTTGTCTCATGTAGCACTGAGTCTTTTGTCACTTGAAATTTCTCATCTATTCATACATAATCTTCTTTCATGTGTGTCTTGCTTACTGAGAACTGATAGAGACAGCTCTCTTTACTCAGGAGCCAAAGTATTAAAAATAGCCAAAAAGCTATTTTTAATATCTCGATCTACACAAAATATTAAACTCTAACTATTATATAAGACATCGCAGCAACCCACAACAAATCACGCATAGTTTGCCATTTGTCTAATGTTACAGGATTTTAAAATGATTATTAATTAATTTATGGCACATTTATCCCAGAAGGTCTGATGAATTGTTTGGTTTGGTTTTCCTTCTCTAGCGCCTTACTTCATATCTTTGTTCATTCAGATCACATATTCAGTGTTTGCATTTTATGTGATACTTGACTGAATTTCAGAAGGAAGAACTTTATTTTCTAAGCTAACAATGATATGTTTTACAAACTGAGGCAAAGGTGCAAATTGAGTACATGTGAGGAAATAAAATGTTGTTTTTATTGACTATTTTGCCCAAAGGTAATTATGTTGTTAAAAGAATTTCATTCCAGTCTGATTGAAATTTTATTTCCATCAGCATTTCTTTGTGCTTTGCAACTTTTAATTGCAATTATTTAATGCTCTGAATGTTTAAGTCAGCCTCAAAAAATGTTTGAGGCTGACTTAAACCTCAAAAAATGTTTGAGGCTGACGTAAACAGTTTCCTTTCTGGAAATTTGTTGCTGCTTTAGTGTTTCAACATCAGCAAAAAGAAACTAATGGATTGATAACTAAAAAGACCGCCCTGAAACCTCAGCCACACCCTGTGTGAGCTATCTATAAAGATGGAGCAGCCGAACACCTGTTGCATCCAGCAAACACCTGGTACAACAGGTAAGCCTCCTCATATCATCTCCCTGCACGCTGAATCCTCTACGTAGGGAAATCCCAGATATCTGATTCTCTTCATGTGGATGTTGTCTGCTCAGCATTTTCATTGGGAGAAAAGTTAACATCCAGATGAACAGAATCAGCTGTTGGGCTGCCCGTATCCCACTTATTTGCCTTTCTATTCCAGCAGATACATTCATTGAAGTTCTTTTTTAAACAGTGCTGTTCAGATTGTGACTGTAGGTTAACTGCAGAGGACCAACATCATGACTCCAGCCTTTTTCTTCTCCGTCTGCCTGTCAATGACAGCCGTTTGTCTGGTAAGCTTGACTCTTCCAGCAAAGGCATTAAATGTTGTTCAACACTGCCGGCTGTTCTGTGAAAGTAATTCTAACCGTGTCTGCTTAACAGACATGGCTGCTTGTTATGAGCGTTTAAGCGTGACGCAGTTGAAGTATTTTCACATAATAGTTTTTGTTTGCCAACAACAACATTTGTCAGTGTGATTTCAAATGTGATTAAGAGTAAGTTGAAAATGTCTTGTTTTTTATTGCAGAGGGCTGCTGTCATTAGAAATATAACTGGTGCGTTCAGTGATGAAATACTTCCAGCATATTGAGGTGTTTTTAATATAAGAGCTAAAGTTAATCTGCTGGTTTCCTCTTGTATCCACAGATGAGTCTCTGGGTGCCTCAGCGATCATTGAAAAAGTCAATGCTAACTCAAGTAAGTGAAGATTTACAAAATAAAACTCTTTTTTGTTAACATATAAATTCTGGATGAAAATGAAAGATCCCTGAGAACTGACATGTTAACATACAATAGACTCCCAACAGACACAATGATCAATCAACCTTTTGGTCATTTACTGGCTTGTCTTAGTCAGCTGTTTTATTTGTGTTATTATCAAACATTGTAATTGTGCGATCAATAAAGTAAATGCTGTAAGCATTTACCTCTTTGTTTTGACATAACTGAGCAAATGGCAGCCTAAGTATCGAGCATTTAACCACTCTCTGTTTGTTGTTCTGCAGCAAAAGTGTTGGTTCATGGTGACATTGTGCCCACTGCTACCAGGAATGCTGTTCCATGCACAGCCATTGGCTGCAAGTGGCCTAAAACTGGACCCTTTGTCTATGTACCTGTCTCCATTGGCCTGAATACAGTAAGCAGTACAAACTTTAACCATTAAACACAGACTTTATGAAAAGGAGAGATGGATAAAAATAGTAAAATAAAAGCCATTATTATATAAATATATATAATATATATTTCAAGTGGTTTCCAAAAATACTGCTTTGTTAACTATGCTGTTTTATTGTGGGATTAACTAAAAAGCATTTAAACTGAAAAGTCATATTTGTATAAGTATGCTGAATTGATATCATACACAGATGCACACAATTTTCAAATTATGTTTTCATTTAATGTCACTTTCTCAATTTTTCTATTTCAAGACAGACAGACAGACAGACAGACAGACAGACAGACAGACAGACAGAAGATAGACAGATAGATTTTGGCGGCCCTGTCATTCGATGGGAACTCAGAGATCCTCGAAGCAGCACAGATTGTAAATACTGTTTATGCTGCCAAGTTGAAATGGCTGAAACATATTGAAGATCCTGAATACTGAAGAAGCTCCTCATCAGACTCATATTTGAATCTGCAGGCAGCCAAGAGCGCGACGTCATCATCAATGCCCTAGTCACCTTCCACGCTTCCACCTGCATCCGGTTTGTCTGGCGTACAACCCACAGAGATTTCCTTCACTTCTTCTCTGGACAAGGGTGAGAATGCACTTGCTGTACTTAGACTGTACTTGTATTTATATGGCAGGACAGGACTGATACACCCACACCCTCTAAACCCTTCAAAAATGCAATTCTGAAAATGATTGCATTACAAATATTCTGTATGTGTCATCAAAACAGGTTCTTGAAGGACCATTCTGCATTGACCTTGTACTGTAAAATGTCCAGTTTTATTTTTGTTTGCTACTAGATGAAATTTATACTGTTGCATAGGAGTGTAAAGAGCATTTTATTCATCCATCCATCTTCATCCGCTTTATCCGAGGCCGGGTCGCGGGGGCAGCAGCCTAAGCAAAGAGGCCCAGACCTCCCTCTCCCCAGCCACCTCCTCCAGCTTATCCGGGGGAATCACCAAGGCGTTCCCAGGCCAGCCGAGAGATATAATCTCTCCAGCGTGTCCTGGGTCTGCCCCGGGGCCTCCTCCCGGTGGGACATGCCTGGAACACCTCACCCAGGAGGCGCCCAGGGGGCATCCTTGTCAGATGCCCGAACCACCTCAGCTGGCTCCTTTCGATGTGGAGCAGCAGCTGCTCTACTCTGAGCCCCTCCCGGATGGCCGAACTTCTCACCCTATCTCTAAGGGAGAGGCCAGCCACCCTTCGGAGGAAGCTCATTTCTGCCGCTTGTATCCGCGATCTCGTTCTTTCGGTCACTACCCACAGCTCGTGGCCATAGGTGAGGGTAGGGACGTAGATCGACCGGTAAATTGAGAGCTTCGCTTTTACACTCAGCTCCCTCTTCACCACGACGGACCGGTGCAGCGTCCGCATTACTGCAGCTGCAGCCCCAATCCGTCTGTCGATCTCCGGCTCCCTTCTCCCATCACTCGCGAACAAGACTCCGAGATACTTGAACTCCTCCACTTGGGGCAGGAACTCATCCCCGACCCGGAGTGGGCACTCCACCCTTTTCCGGCTGAGAACCATGGCCTCAGATTTGGAGGTGCTGATCCTCATTCCCGCTGCTTCACACTCGGCTGCGAACCGCTCCAGTGCGAGCTGGAGGCCTCACCCGATGAAGCCAACAGAACCACATCATCCGCAAAAATCAGAGATGAGATTCTGAGGCCACCAAAGCGAAAGCCCTCCGCCACTTGGCTGCGCCTAGAAATCCTGTCCATAAAAATTATGAACAGAACCGGAGACAAAGGGCAGCCCTGGCGGAGCCCATCACCCACCGGGAACGAGTCCGACTTATTGCCGGCAATGCGAACCAAGCTCTTGCAACGGTTGTATAGGGATCGAATGGCCCGTAGCAATGGGCCAGACACCCCATACTCCCGCAACACCTCCCACAGGACACCCCGAGGGACACGGTCGAATGCCTTCTCCAAGTCCACAAAACACATGTAGACTGGTTGGGCAAACTCCCATGCACCCTCAAGTATCCTCGAGAGGATAAAGAGCTGGTCCAGTGTTCCGCGACCAGGACGAAAACCGCATTGTTCCTCCTGTATCCGAGGTTCGACTACGGACGAACTCTCCTTTCCAGCACCCTGGCATAGACTTTCCCAGGGAGGCTGAGGAGTGTGATCCCCCTGTAGTTGGAACACACCCTCCGGTCCCCCTTCTTAAAGATGGGGACCACCACCCCGGTCTGTCAGTCCAGTTATTTTAAAATATTATTTAAGATATTAAAGTACAAAAGCTAAAGTGTGGTTCGAGCAGTGTCTATAGAGCCACAGTGTCAAAGTCGGTCACATGATTACTGTCATTGCTTTTCTTGGTACTTTAGCCTTAGCATGACTAGCTGAAGGAGGAGGATGCACAGTGCTAGGCTATAGAACAGTCCATCTATTTTTTAAGTGATGTCATTGTGTCTATCAGGTGTTATTCATACCTGGGCCGTCAGAATGGAGGACAGCTAGTCTCCCTGCAGAGAAATGGTTGCTTGTTTCAGTCGACGGTGCAACATGAGGTTCTTCATGCTCTGGGCTTCCACCACGAGCAGGTCCGCTCTGACAGAGATCTGCATGTGAGGATCCTTACCGCGAACATCATCCCAGGTCAGCTGAACTACCCAAAACGTTGGTTACAGTTAACTTAGTACACAATGGGACATCCTCCTGTTTCACAGCAGTGTACATATTACAAGTAATCTGTGCTTTTCCAAACTCAGCACATAAAACACTGCAGTTCAAGCGAGCACTGCATAGAAGATTTTGTTTGTATTTCTTTAGTCCCAAGACTATCAAACAAATGATCACAGAAGAGATTAGCTAGCATTTCGATGTATACATCTTCAAAGAGCTGAGACTGAAGACGGATTTTGAAGTGGAAGCATATAAAAACATGTAATATTTTCTGGAAATTTCTGTTTAGGAAAAGAGCACAACTTTGTGAAAGTGCAGACCAACAATTTGGGGACTCCCTATGACTTCAACTCTGTCATGCACTATGGCAGGTGAGTTGCTGTGTGAGATGGACTTTGTAAGGTTTTATATTCCCTTACATGTTTTGCATTTTATGCAAGAAAATGTAATCCAGACTAACAAAAACATGCACACACTCAGTGGGGAATGGATTTTTAATGTTAAATACGTTATGGGCCCATTTTCTCCTCTGTTTTCCTGATATAACCGCGTATGTGTGCTCGTGTGCTGTTGTTTGTTCTTTTAGATTCCACTTCTCCAAGAATAGGAAGCCAACAATTGTTGCCAAATCCAATCCTAATCTTAATTTTGGAAATGCTTTCCAAATGAGTGCCAATGACATTGCCCGTGTAAACAGGCTTTATGGATGCTGTGAGTAATTAAGACACACCCACAAAAAAGAAATTTGCTATCTTTTTGTACAAAGCCAGTACTGATCGGAGTTGATTTTTTTTTCCTAACCAGAAATTCAGCAAGAACCTTCAACTTTGCATCCAGATTCTTCAGATGCCCAAACACCAGCATTACACCAAGGGATTGGATCCACTATACTTAAAAATGATAAAAGAAACATAAAATGTGCTGCAAATATCACATTTAGGGAGTTGAAGTTCTGGGTCTTTGTTTTACGAGCTAAACGGCAGGCTTGTATACCAGAGGGTGATGGTGTTATCTTGCTTTCTGTTGAGGTTTTCTCCCCTTTTGTTAGACTATAAACTATAATGGATTTCTCAATCCGTGCAGTTTGATAATTAACTTTGTAACTGTAAATGATGCAGACATAGAACCAAACCTTGTGACTGCGACATCTCTCAAAGATTTTTGTTTGGCAAAACAGTAAAGTGAAAAAATATGTGAACAAAACAAAAAGTCAAATCTTTCATGGAATGATCATGACTGTTGTCTTATACATGACCAACATGTATCAACAAGATATAGTGTGTAGATATAGTCCAGTGTCACAAGTGTAAGAAGAAGAATCTTTCTTCTGATATTTTAAAAATCGATTTTTCTGACAATGTCTTCTAATTTTTCTTGCTTTTGTTTTTCGAGGGGTTTTATCTTTGGTTTGTTGTCTCTTTCTGTAACAAGTGCTATCAAATAAAATTCCATATTTCAAGCAACAGGGGGCAGTATTGTTTCATTATTATATTTTAAGTTATTTTAGAAATATGTGTTTTGCTTAAACCGTATTACCGTGAACAGTATGATATGGCCCAACCCTACCTCTCACTTATCATCAGACCAGCAAACAGGGAGAAAAGCTAAGCTGGCAGCCAGCAGCTCCTTATCATTGAACATGCTTGACAGCTTGCTCCTTGTATAGTTATTTAGTCAGACAGGCAGCATGAACTAGTACAAACAATTACAGCAACAAATGCCGGATCATTGTTCAGGCGTGTGCATGACTGAGGTTTCATAACAGTTTTTAACAACAGTTATGAAGAAACACATCAGCAGAAACTAAATGGTTCAAATCAGATTACTATGTGATGCATCATGATGGTGGTGGGAATATTCAAGTCTGTGGGGTTTTAATCTTCTCAATCTAAACACTTGCACTGAACTGACTCCACCCTACACAAGAAGAAGTAGCACTCTAATCTTGAGAGACATGATCCACTCTCTGGTTTCAGTTTTCTGATGGTTTGGTAGGATTTTAAATGCAGAACATGTATTTATGTAGTAGTATTTGTGCATTTGTTACATTTGTTGCACATTAAAAAGGCACCTGTAACATTCTGTCCAAC